ATATATATATGCATCAAGGTCTCAAAAGGCAGGGTCAGAACTGATGGCAAGGAATGTCAGTATATCCTAACAGATGATGACATTAAGTCTAATGGTGGTGGTGGTGATGATGATGAACTCTGTGACAAAATTTGTGTAACCAAATATTCTCCATGATGGATACGTTGCTTTAGTTTAGCAGATTAATTTTATGTTTCACACCTTCATACACTCTTTCCATATTAAGAAAGTCCTTCATTAGAAAGTAGTAGGCATATTTCCATAGTTACGCCAGTAGTGAAAAAAAGGTGAAGTTTGGAAAGATTTGAAAGTGTTACAGACAGTGGCAGAAATACGGTACTGCATGACCCTCTTCTGCAAGAGGGCATGAGCTTTGTAAGAGGGCCCACAGTTCCAAAACAGTATTTTTTTAAGAAATATTTTTTGAATTTAAATTTTATTTTGAAATTGTAAGGATGCTTAAATGAAGCAAAATTATTTAGAAATAAGAGTGCTGTGTTATGAAATTTGAAGTCAATGAGACCCAACATGGTTTTTCTTTTAGTAAATCTGAAGTTTGAGGAGAGGCTGTGTTGTTCATATATTCAAAGTTGTATTTTGAAATAGATCATACATGAAATCTTTTACTTTTGTTTAGAAATGAAAATGACATTCAATCATCCTTCACATTTTTAATTTTGAAAGAAAGATGTAACACATTTTTTCTTAGTTGCTTTTTTTATTATCAGTGCTAGATCTTGTTTGGTTTTTTTGCAAATTTTACAATGTACTCTCCAAAGGTGCAGGACTTAAAGTCAAGTCTACTTGGTTTCTTCCCCAATGAAAAATTATTCCCAGTTTCACTTTTGAATACAGGAAAAAGAAACACTAGAGGACTTAGAAGTAGACAGCAGAAGACTAGATCCTTGAGAATAATACCTGCATTTTGGAGAAGGGAAGAACTGCAATTGTGGAGACTACCCATGTTGAGATGTTTGAAAAATAGTCTCGTGCTCTCCCAGTTTGAGGAACAAGATATAATGCCAATAACCCAAAATAGAAAATCTACCAGCTTTCCCGAATCTTGTAGTGCAGTAAAAGTGATCATCTGCATGCAATATTCATGAAATATAAGATGGTAAGTATAGGCCCTTATTCAAGTCAGAAGAAAGCAAGTTGATATATTAAAAATAGTACCAGGTGACTAGAAAGTACTGTGATTGCTTGAGGGTTTTTTGTTCCTCCCCAAAGTGATTAACGAATAATGAATAGCTTTAACTTTTAAAAAATGTGTGTAGTGTACGTTCATATTGAGAATACTTCTTTTGAGTATGTGATCAATATGTAGCAAATGTTTTGAACATTTTGAGAAAATTTTCAAAAAATGTTGGGCTTTAATACAGTTGGACTTCATTTAGGGAGGGTTCCCTGCCTCCCTCTCAGATCTGCCTTGGAAGCAAAAAATAAGTTTGTTTATTTTTATATTTATAAGTTGGGGTTAGCAGGTGTTCCCATCAACATCCCAGATCGACAGGTTGTAACAAAAGAAAACTTAATTACCGTACTCACCACAATCATAATAGATGTTGAAAGTATTGTCTCCTTTGGTCTCCATGATCTACTGTCATAAATACAATATTTAATAGAAAGCCCTGACTCAGCTCAGTGCATAAATTTTTTGGTTTACTATATAAGCATTAATGATAGATATTGAAATACAGGATTAATGTAATTACAAATGAGATGTAACGCAATATAAGTTAAATATAATTAGAAAAAAAGGAAAGATAATACATAGATACAATTATAAATACATTGGGATCAATCATCCAAAAAATTAAATATTTATCCAAACTCATGTTTTCTCTGAATATTATTTTTATTAAGTACCTTATACTATACATATTCATTTTCTTTTGTAATTCTGAATATTGAGAATGATCTCCGATATGACTGTCAGTGATAAAATATTGATGATAGAACATGGATGCAGAGCAGCAATCAATGGTTCAAACAAAGACAAGTATTAGATATTTTTTATAACTTCATTTATGGTAGTGAACACGAGAGAATTTGGATAACTTATGAATGAACATAATGGAAATTTTTAATGGAACAAATTTTGAGTGTGAGAATTATTTCATTATTAAAAATTAAACATTTACATCATGTCTGAACTGAATCTCCTCCAGAACGTGATGTAACAAATCCAAAAGGTTCACAAGATTGGGAAAAATGGGCCTAGGATAATGAAGAGGTAGTCCAAGTAATACATTTAAAGTAATCATCAATATTAATGACTGTAAGAGGAATAGAAGTGAGAGAATTGTGGGAATTACTAAAAAGGAGATATGAAGATATACATAATAACCGAAAAGTTCAATTAAAAATAGCACTGGTAAAAATTGAAAAGTCAACTAGAGAATCATTAGAAGAATATTTAACATACACCCACATCTAAGCAAAATAATAATTAATATAAAATATATTAATATTAATATATTAATTATAATAGAAGAGAATGAGATCATTAGATACATAATAGGAGGTCTATCCCGAGAACATAGTGAGGCAAATTATGATGGCAATAATGACAAATACCAGTGTCACTTATAAAATTTACAAGAAGTATTAATTAATTTTGATTATCAATTAAATATTGATATAGAAAATAATCATAATCTGCTTTCAAATTTAGAGAGAGAAAAATACAAAAATGTTACAACTGAAGTAAATCAGGATATTATGTTAAAGATTATTGATTTCTAAAAGCCAGACAAAATAAATATAATAGTGATAATAATAAATCAGCTTTCAATTCCAAAAAGTATTCAAATACTAATACTTCTTTTGGAAATAAATGAATTAAATATTATCAAACATAATAAAGATTTCTGCTGCAGTACTTCAGATGCTATAGAAACAAATGAACATCATGAGATAAATAGCAAACACAAACGAGTACAAATCATTTCTAATAAAAATAATAAATTATCATCTAATGTTCAATGGATACTAGACTCAGCATGCTCATCTTGTATGGTCAATGACGGTGTATTATCACCGTTTAAATCAAAAGAAATTGATATTTCTATGGCAGAAAAATATAGAAATATACAAACTACTTCAAGGGTGCAAGTTCATGCACTTAATAACATTCAAAATATGAAACATAATTACATTTAAAGATACTGTTTTAATTCCATGAGTAACAAATAACCTTAATTCTGTACCAAGTGTAAAACATCTAGTAAAACACAATAAGAAAATAATATTAAGTAAGTACGGTGCTACAATTTATGATGATGAAACAAATGAGCTCATTATCCAAGAAAAAGTTGAGAAATAACATGTTTATTATTATTTTACAAATGAAATGTAACTACAATGATCACAATGATCTACAATGTCAACAAACTATAGTTGAAATAAAATATTATAGCACAAAAGATTAGGATATATAAATAATAATTATTTATTAAAATTGAAAAAAAGAAAACATGATTTCTGGACTAGGTAATATTACAGCAACCGAAAGAAAGTGTGATCAATGCATACAAGGTAAACTTACTAGATCACCGTATAATAAAGTCTATCAAGAAACAAAACCACAAAACTTGTGCAAAGATTACACCTTGATGTTTGTGGTCCAATAAAACATCGATCTGTTGGAGGACAAAAGTAGATTTTGGTCATAGTAAACATAGTTGATCATAGTGATCATAGTTTTATTGAATTTATTAAGGAAAAATCACAGATTCCTGAAATAATAAGAGAGTTGATGCAGAGAAGAGAGAACGAAACTGGAGAAAAAGCTAAAAATTTATGTTCAGATAATGGTACTGAATTTACGAATTGTAGATTTACACATTGTAAAAATAAAGGTATTAAACAAGAATTTACAAATATTTACTCTCCACAGAGTAATGGTATTGTAGAACGAACTAATAGAATACTAATAAGCGGCCAATGTTATACTTTTACCTTCCAACCTTCCAATAAAAGTTTGGGCGGAAGCAGTTCCAACAGCAACATATTTACATAATTTGTTGTACCCTAAAGTAAAAAATAAAACCCCAATGGAAATATTAAAAGGTAAAAATTTTCTGTAAAACATTTATGAATTTTTGGATGTAAAATATTATTTGGAAATGAAGAAACTAAAAAACAAATTTGATAAAAGAGAAGAACAAGGTATTTTTAATAGATCCTCAAGAATAAGAAAACTTACAGAATTAACAATTTTGAAGAAAACAAGATTATTGAAAGTAGAAATGTAGTATTCCTTGAAACACAAAGTGAATACTGTAATGATTTAAACAATGTAATAATTTTTAAGAAATCAGTACACTAGATTACATTGTATGTATGTATGTATGTATGTATGTAGTATGTATGATGTAGTAGTAAGTATGTTATGCTTGGCGCGAGTGCCTGTGAACAGGCTCAGGCCTACCTCCTTGGGTTAAAGGGATGCCACGTGTTGTTCAAGGGTGTGGTTAGCAC